GGGGGGGACGAGGAGGCTTGTACACGTCGCAACCGGCTAACAAACCTGGACCTTGACCCAGATGTTGCAGGTCTGCACATATTAAGGTCCAGCCGACTGGACGGAAGAACAAACGAACATGACGAAGAGGCGGAAAAAGGGACGCAAATAACAACATGCGACACGTGCGCGGGTGAGGAACGAACGATGCTCCTAGAGCCGCTGTCGCAGGATCTAAGTAGCATGTTAACAAATGCAATGCAATAAGAAGATAGAGAAGAAGAAGAAGAAGCAGGAAAATATATCGTCATGTTCTCAATCGATCGGATATCATGAGCAATTAAAAAAAAATCCAAGCAATTCATGCTTCATACAAAATAGCCACGATAAAATAGAATAGAGTAAAATAGATAAAATGAAAAATGAAAAAAAAAAAGAAGAAAAGGAAAAGGAAAACAGGAAAAAAAAGGAATAGTGTGGCAGAGTCGAATTCGTAGAGTAGAATACTTAGGTAGAATAGAGTAACATTAGGAAGCAGAATGCAATGAGATCGAATAAAACGATTTGACGAAAAAGAAAATGGTGTGCAGACGAAGCCAGTCAGTCGAATCGAGTCGAGTCGAGTCGATGGGGAGCGGTCGGTTGTTCTGCTATAAAGCTGATTCCCCCCGCCAAAAGTTGTTTTCCCCGTTCAGCCACCTAGTTTCCCTCAAAACAATCAATCTCTCACCTCACTTCACCTCACCTCACTCTCCACCTTCCATCGCGCAACCATCATCTCCTTTCTCAGGAAAAAATCATCTACCCAGCCTTCGTCGCGGTAACTTGCAGAATTTGATTCTCCAAAAAGATTCCCGACTTTTCCAATCACAAGGTTTAATATATCGCTCTATCAGAAAAAGAGAAGGGTCTTTTTCTCCCGTTTCCTTTGACCCACACATCAAAGCAAAAACCGCACGGAAAAAAACAAAAAGAAAAAACCACAAAAACATAACCCAACCTTTTCTTTCTTCTCATCTCCAAAACCTCCATCTCACCTCTTCAATCAACCAAACCGGTCTACCCCTCTATTCATCTCATTTTCTTCAAAAAACTCAAGAAACCTCATTTCACTTCATCAAAAACCGAAAAATCAATTACAATGGCTCCAACTACTGGGACTGCTACGACAGCTGCTAAAGCTGGACCTGGACGCAAAAAGAAGCCAGAAGTCCCAACAGAACCAACTCGCCGATCCACTCGTACCGTGATTCCACGTACGATTTTCTCAGCCGGCGTTTCTAAGCCAAAGGCTGCGCCAAAGAAGCGCAAGGCAATGACCGAAGAGGTCAAAGAGAAGGTTGCAGCTGTCGCTAAGAAAGCGAAGACAGCTGTCACAAAGAAGAAGCCAGGCCCCAAGCCTGGTGCAGCTAAGAAGACCAAGTAAGTAATATATCCACTTTCCGCTAAATGGCAGAACAAACACGATGCCACATCAAACACAGCCCTTGTATATGCATCAAAAACCGCAAATTCCCGAGTAACACGCTAACTAATACTTCTATCAGGGCTGCCTCAACCAAGGCAACCGCCAAGAAGACGAAGACGAAGACGAAGACGAAGGCTTGATTAAACTATGTTTAATCTACTAGTTTTTGGGGCTCCTTTGCCCTTTTTTCCCTTCTCATTCTCGAGGGTATTTGGGCCGAACCTGTGAATCTCACTTTTTAAAAAGAATTCTGTTTTTCGCCGGTCCTCCCAAACCCTCCACTCTTCCAGCCTTACTAGGTTTTATTAGCATTACGATGAAAACATCAATGCAGGTCTGAGACCTCATTGCTTCTTTTTCTGTTGTTTTCTTATCAATTCTGATTCCTTTGTAAGATAGCTCGTCTTTCTCCGCCTGTCCTTCTTTCCTCGTTATGTCTGGTTTCTTTCCTTTTCCTTTGTGCGCTCGACACGATCGCCTTTTCTCCGGTTCATTTTTATATCGGTTTGAGAATGATCAGTTGGGCAATTTTTCAGGAAGGGATCAGGTGGTGCTTATGAGGAGCTCGTATGCTCGCTTTTGAATTCTTTCAAATTCGTGCATGCTCCCACTCCTCAAGCACCTTCTCTTTGTTTTTCTTCTTCTTTTTTCAATGGTTGTTAGGGGTGTCTGTCATCATCATCATACTATTATTACTTGTTCACTATCATGCGATCGGGGTTTGCTTCCACGGAGGGAATTGTGCATGCATCGTCATTCGGTTCTATGGTTTTTGATTTTTCCTTTTTACACTGTCTCCGTTCCTCCTCCGCCTCATCTGAGTTATCATTCTATCATCCCTTCGACCGCCTCCTATCCTCCTCTATTCAGTTCCCACTTCTCGAGACCCTGTCATCATCTCTCGCCTCCACTTCTGCCATCAGCTCCTCCTCCTTATCCCCCTCATCCTCCTGTACTCTTTCTAGCTAACTCCGTGATACCAAATGAAATGATAACTTCTTATCCTTTACAATGATATTTAAAAACAAGACTATAAAGTTAAATGGTTCCAAAAACCGTCCCCATATAGATTTATACTAAAAACCATTTCTGGTAGTCAAGTAATTGGCATCGCTTTCTCCATGTGGTCGATCTGATCATGGATTTCGTCCACCGGCGGTATCAATGCGAGGGTTTTTATACACGATATATACGACACCATAGCACTTATCAGTCTAGTCGCTAGAGCTAATGAGTTAAAAGCTCGGACAGCTGTACAGCACCTCAGGTTGTCAACTACCTAGCTCGGTAGCCCTTTGCAAAGTAATAACCAGGGTTGGATATATTGTGATCAGGAACGCACCACTATTAAGATATTACAGCATCGTAAGTTCAATAGGGAGCCTGAGGATTAATACTTATACCGGCCTGGTTGGATATATTACTCTCGCGGACCCCAAGACCAACTATAGCTGATTTTTTTTTTTTTTTTTTTGGCTGTCATACAACTTCACCAACTATACCCCTTGACACACCTAAGCAAAAACCAGTGCCGTATCTTCACACAACCAAAGGGGGCCAATATTCAGATATTTATTTATCCAATCTCTTCTTTCTATTTTGATCTTTTTAAATATACTACAGACCGCTCATAACCGTGAATGAAAAAAAAAAAAAAAAAACTCAAAGGTATGTACAACAAATGTGCAAAAGAAAAAAAGCGAACGAGAAAACCCCTAACTATCTAACCGTACCTTCAATTTACATTAAAAAAATGGAAGGAAAGGGCGCAGCAGGAAGGGTAAAGTTGTATCTCTGTAACGAGAACAACGAGAAAAAACCTACTTCCTATACCACATTCTCGTGATCTATATCCCAACAATCAATCAGTTAGCAAACAAATACTCTCCACACCTGAAACAAGCAAGCAAAAATAACCAAAAATGGCAAAAGAAGAAAAAAAGAGGAGAAGCTACAAACCTTTGTATTCCTCATCTTCTTCTGCAACTGCATAATCCCATACATCAAAGCCTCAGCCGTCGGCGGACATCCTGGCACATAAATATCCACCGGTACAATCCGATCACACCCTCTCGTAACACTATAACTATAGTGGTAATACCCACCACCATTCGCACAGCTTCCCATGGAAATAACCCACCGCGGCTCACTCATCTGGTCATAAACCTGTCTTAAAGCCGGTGCCATCTTATTCGTAAGTGTGCCAGCAACGATCATAACATCGGATTGACGAGGTGAAGCACGGAAAATGATTCCTAAACGATCTTGGTCGTAACGTGGGGTGGAGAGATGCATCATTTCTACGGCGCAGCAGGCGAGACCGAAGGTCATTGGCCAGAGGGAACCCTGGCGCGCCCAGTTTGCAATGGCGTCGAGAGTGGTTCTGGAAAGACAAGAAATTTTTTTGGTTAGTGGCGAAGTGGTGGATTTGGTTACGTGGGACGTATTATAATATATTTTTTGTGTATATAGGGAGGGGAACGTACAAGGCATAGTCGACGACGCCTTCGGGTTTCTGTTGGCTCGGGAGTGGGACTTCGCGCCTGGCGACGCTGGTGGGACGCTGAGTCGACAGACTTGACGAGTCGCGATGAGGCTGGGCTGCTAAAGCAGGGACAAGGGATGCTGGAGGGTAGTTAGCGGTCAATGGGTGCTCCTAAGACGGGTGTATCGAGACTGGTACGGGTATAGTGGAGGAAAGTAAACATACCTCGAGGGATGAGAGCGGCAGCAGCGCTCCTGGCCGCCAGGGCACGTCGTGGTATTATCGAGGCCATTGTTGAGGTGTTTGATGCTAACAAGAGCCGGGTGAGGCAGGACGGTGGCGGGATGGGGGGTGGTAGGAGGTTCTAGGGTGGCGGCTGGAGTTATAACATTTGGCGGGTGTTCTTTGAGTTTTGGAGGTTGAGGTTAGCGGAAGTGGACCCATGCCGTCACAAATGAAATCGCCGGCCTCTAATTGGCCGGAGACAACATCACGTGGAAGATCGCAACGCATAAAATCCAACATTTACTCATCTCTCATATGCTCTTTTTTGTCTGCGTTTTATATCTGCATACCCACAGATGCATTATGCATTGCTGAAGGGCTAAGCGTTAAAATTCATTTCCACCATACTTCAATTTCAAATATCTAGAAAAACTTTAGTCTTCAAAGTATATATAAGGAAGGTAACATGAAATTTATCAAAGCTGTTTTTGAGAACTTTCTCAAGCATCACTTGCAATATAACGTTCAGGCTAAGACCATACCGAATCTTCAAGATGGAATCACATCTGTAGTAAACCAATATACCTACCTAGCTAGCCAAGAAAATGTAATGGCACAGTAGCAACATTCAATCTAAATTCACTAAGGAGAACCACGCTATGCTCGCCGCCATCCTACATGAACACCGTGGCAATCGCTGCACCCACCCGTCACAACCACCCACATCGGTCGATCCACACACCATCGAGATCCCAACTAGATCCTAACCGCAGTAAATAACCCAAGTACCAAAAAAAAAGTTAAAAAAGAAAGTTTATTCAGAGGCGCAAGGGGCAAAAGAAATGCCCGCGGTCGGGTTCGAACCGACGATATCCAGAGCTACAAGATCTAGTTTTCTAGAAACCGAGATATTGTGATTCTGGCGAGATGACCACTACTCTACACGGACCTAATTTTTGGTTAGTCAAAGAATAGGGTTACGTGGTATATATACCTAATTATAATGTTTTTTTTTTTTTTTTTTTTTTTTTTGGGGGGGGGGCGGGATGGTTCTACTGGAGTAGAAGTATTATGGTAAGCTTCTGCGCTCTGGACCTCAACATCCAAGTGTCTATGGGGGTTCTTACGCACTGCCTTGAGAGCCCAACTACTTATAGCTTCCCTAAGAAGCGTACCAGCTTTCTAAACATATAACAATTATATAATGAGGACTAGAGCCATAGATCCAGACACCCGGCGGCCCCTACCTTCAAGACGTTAAAATATATTAACAACGGAAATACTATTGTGCGGCTAGCTTTGACCATGAAGTCAATTGTCAGGTAAGATTCAAATATCCAGTGGATTCACTAGGAAATTATATAACTATGTAGGGCGAAGCTGCAAAATAGTTACATGTAGCCCTATACATATATGCATAGCCAACTGTTGTTTCAAACGGGGTTGGTAGTAGTATACCTAGCATATATACGTATCGTAAATTACCATCCTTCGTCTACTCCTCATTTCACAGAGTGACGAGATCAGGAAAGAAAGATCGTGTTTAAAAATATACATAAATACATACAGAAAGTGTGTGTCGGCCAAAGTAAGGCCTGCTAACCACGTACATGAAAGTTGAACATGATATTCTGGGGGGAAAGGTGAGGAGGTCGGTAAAAGGTAGAAACATAAGTTACTAAATACCCGCCAAATATAACAAAGAATAAGAAGAAGAAGAAGTAGTAGAGAAGCTAAGATAAATTTGATAAATGAGATGAGTCTTCCACGAAACCAATCGATGAAACGAACATGGAGAGGTTTCCCGGAAGACCCTTCCGCCGCACCCTTGGTATTTTTTTTGAAATAGAAAACAAAAAAAAGTGAACAAAGTGGTTGGCAGGTCTACTTGGGAAGATGGAAAATCAAACACAAAAAAGAAGGCTGGAGGCTTTGAAAGAAATTGTCTCGCTCGCTATTACTAGCTTCTCCGCTTCAGAACTTCCAAAGCAGAGAAGGGCCTGACATTTTGAGCCCGAACCTCTGTACAATGGGAACGAAAAGCGATGAACAGGGAAAGAGAAAGAAAAAAAAAGACATGTATTATATGCAAAGCAGGAAGGATTTGTTTTTGGTATATAATCATTCCAAGTGTAACAGAATTAACGCCCTTCTAACGTCGACGAGTCATGCGGAATTCCTCAACCCATAAAAGCACAATCCAGAAAGAAAAAAGAAAGAAAGAAAACGGACATCCCGTAAACAAAAGAACAGGAAGATAAAATTAGACATAAAGCAGATGTATTGTTAAAAAGCGAAATTTGTCTCATAAATCAGATCGGGCGGAAACTCTGTGGAGGTTCTGCGAGGTGGTTATTAGTGCACAGCAGTGTTCTGGGAACCAGCTGAAAGTAGTAGTAATGGAAACGACATGCAGGAAAGGGCACAATGAAAATCACTAAATGACACTAACGCCAGACGAATTCCGCATGACTCCCCGACCCTAGATTTTCTTTTTGTCGTTAAACATTTCCGTGTAGAGTGGCCGTTACAATGGGAAGAATACAAGTTTTGGCAACATATACGAAAGTCAAGAAATTGAGGAGGAAGGGAGAAGAATGATTAGGAAATGGGAGGAGCGATATTAAAAAGAAAATGGAAAAAGAGGGAGAGAAGAAATATATCGTGAGTTTCGCACGCTGGTGGGCGGTAAGGGCTAACTCAGACACTGTGTACTCGATGGTTGAAATGAGGAGCCTTACTCGTGCTCCATAATACCTTTGATGACTTTGGCTGGATTTCCCGCAACAACAGTATGTGGAGGAACATCCCGGGTGACAACAGCGCCAGCGCCGACGGTAGCACCCATGCCAATTTTCACACCAGGGCTATTAAACGTTAGCATATAGTCTCGACTAAAGGGAACCAAGACGACGAGCAAAACTCACAGGATAGTAACGTTGCCTGCAATCCAGCAGTCTTCTTCAATGACCACTGGCTTGCCAAACTCTGGACCCTTAGTCCCGTTGCGGGTCCTAGGGTTGAGCGGATGAGTGCCAGAGTAAATGTTGACGTTTGGCCCAATGAGAGTCCGGGCTTTAATCGTCACCTGATTTGGTTGTTAGTTCCAATTTCGAGAATTACAGCACACACTTTTTGTTCAAAAAAAAAAAAAAAAAAGAACTTACAGAGCAGGTGTCAATGATAGTGCACCCGAAGTTGATGAAGACGCCGGGACCAAGAGTAATATTGTAACCGTAGTCGCACATGAAGGGAACCTCGATCCATGGCTCCTCATTGACCGGGTAAACGGTATCTTGCAAGCCTAGATTCTTCCTGAGGTGGGCGTTTGCAATATCTCCGTGCCAAGCGGTTCCTTGAGGGCCTCTGGTTCCTGCAGATGGTCTAAAGATTTCCATCTGTAAACGCAACTTCTCTTCTCGTGAGATGCACAATGTTGGATTGGCAGCGTTATTAAATCTCCAGCATGCAGCACGGCACCTCTCTCGCTCTTCAATCAACTCGGGCGTGAATGCATGGAAGAGGTCGCCATTAAGCATTCTTTCCTTCTCGGTGGAAGAAAATCTTTGGGGGAGCGGTGGCTGTGGTGGAACTCGTGGGCCGGAGAATGGAGAGACCTGGGATTGTTGAGGCTTCGGTGGCTCAGGGCCTGGTAGGTGTTGGGTGACTCCAGAATCTCGTCGAATAGGTTGAACCTGTGGTGGAGGAGCAGGGCCAGATAGTGACAATCCAGTCGCGCCAAACGGCTTCGGGTCTGGCGGCATAGTAGACTGCTGGATGACGAGGGGCTGGGGTGGTTGAGATAGCTGATGGCGAGAGTAATCGGGTGGTGGAAGTTGCTGGTGAGAAAATATGAGACTTGAAAATTATGGATCTAATCAAGATATCAATTTTACTTACAACTGGACGTTCTTGAGGGGCTCTCATGACAGGGGTAGTCATAGTAGCAAAACTGGCATTAATAGGAGCTGGACCATTTGCCAAGATCGAATCAGCTTGTTGGCCTTGTGCAAAGAGGGAGCCGGATGCACCAGAGTTGGTTGACGCGGCGTTGTTATAGAGATGTTGAGGATGTCCAGGAGCGTCGATGGGAGTGAGCGGTCCCAGAAAGGGATTAGTCTTACCAGCATATCCACCACAAGTAAATCCTCCACGCTTGCAATTATTGCCTGTGGTTTGCAGACTTATTAGTCTCTTCATTCAACACTTGAGATACAGCGGAAAGAAGTGAAACATGAAAAAGGGAAAAATGAAGATAAAAGCAATCAGTTTTGACTCACAATGAGGCTTGCCCTCGTCACACTTCTTCTTCCTCCTCCGGCATGTAATACAGCCCGTCTTTGTCCTATTGCTAAAGATACGCTTCCGCTTCGTTTCAGGCTGGCCGGGAGTGGTCGGACCGTTCCCGTTGATAGTGGTCATATTTGGAGACATGTTTGGGTTGTATGAACGGATATGTTCGCTCTGTGGCGTGCCCTGGAGTTGCTGTGCTACATGAGCCTCGAAAACAGCCGGGTCTCTGTTTCGCAGGTCCTCCAACTTGGCGGCTTCCTCACTAGCCCTCTGAGCGATATGCTCAGGAGCGTGTCGATCCGGCATGATTTCGTCCCGGGGACCATCAGGTACATCCACCATACGAGTGTCGTTCGTCATCGGCATGCTATGACCATGATACTGGGGATGGACAATCTCAGTCGACATCTCCCGGATCTGACCGTAGCCCTCGACGCGGTTTCCGGCCTCGGCAGAGTTCGATCTCTTCCGTTTCTGGATATTCCCCTCAGGGCTCCCTGAAGGGCGTACAGATAAAGGCCTGTTATCGGCGGCAGCCTGGGCGTATTTCGGGTCGGGATGAGAGTTTGGAGTCACGGGAGATTGGAGATTGGAACCCGTGATATCGCTATGGTCACCACCGTCTTCGTCCCCGCTGCCGGACTGGGAAGCGTGTGAAGCAGTCTGGCTACGGTGATTGCTGTGCGCGTTGTGGTGGTGGTTGTTTTGGAGTTGAAGCTGATGGCTGGGAGAGTGCGCCTGGGGCGGTGGTGGTGGTGCAGCAACCGCTGAAGGGGGCGAAGGCCCCGCGACTCGGATCGGTTCAGCCGGCCGCGGCGGATTCGAAGTCGAGTTTGAGGTCCCGTTGACGGCGGTGAACGTCGAGCCGGCGGAAGCCTCACGGACAGGAGCGTGATTGCTGGTCCCGTTGGCGGTGCCGTTCGTTTTGCTAATCGTGTGGTCTTCAGCGGACGGCGACATACTTCCGCTCTGGTTTTTGCTATCTATTCGATGCCCGCGATGTTATACACAACTCTCTGCACGCACGTTTAGCGCGTACGATATCCACAAATCCTCCCCGTCTCCGATGCCACAGTTGGTCCTACGGTTCGAAAGAATGTTCTAACGGTGATGGATGGCCGGTTGGAAATACAAATCGACGGTCGAACGAGAGGGTCGTCCTGCGGTGCAAGAAAGAGGAGCCTTCGAGAACGGAAACCAGGACAAGAACAAGGACCTTTACCAGCCGCCGAAGTTCCAAATGATTCGATTCGGTCTAGGATTCGAAACAAGCTTACACCAAAAGTCAATTTGCCTCGAGGTGGTTTTCAAAGTTTTTGACCTTTTGCGGTAGATTCAATGTCGAAGCTTATATCCGCGCGTGTGTCGGAGAACTAGTCGCTACTCGATGGGCCAGAGATGCTGGATGAGGGACTCGATGCGAGATGAGAACGATGGGGGTTGAGACTAAGTTTCTTCCTAAGTTATGTGAGTATGAATGCCGGTAAAAAGGATAGCAAGTGATAATAAAATTGAAAAAATGGAAGGAAAAAAAAAAAAAAAAAAAAGAAAAAAATAGAAAAATGATAAGAAAAAAACGGCAATGTCTGATGCTATAAAATTTCCTCAAAGGTAACGACCGAAATGAGTGTGAATGTGGCAGTCGAGCTTTTGGCG